CATGTGCTGGAAGCTGCACCCATGGGTCCAGCCTTGCTGGCAGTGGCCAAGGTGTCCTCTCAGGGGTGTGAATTGCGTCTGAAGACTGCGAGATGGAGCTCGCTTGGTCCCTGTGGCAGCAGGCTGCCCACGGAGGACGGCAGGTCTGGCCCCGGTGTTTTGCTGGCCAAAACCAGCTCAGCGTGGGCATCAGCATGTGCAGGGCACGAGCAGCCTCGGGGAAAAAGCTTTCCTGATTCCTGCCTGGAGCAGAGCTGGAGCACACCAGAAACCTCCCCCCCCAGGGGGAACTTTTCCAGCCTTCCCTTGGGTGCTGTTGCTCTCCCCAGCTGCAGGCACAAGGAAATACTGAATTTGGTTTAATTCGGCACAAATCCAGGCTGCTCCTCATTCTTTCGTCTTCTCTCTCGGTGTCAGTGGGAGAGGGAGAAGCCCACAGGCGCCGCACTGAGCAGAGATGCTAATCGTATGCAGATTGCACCCCTCTATTGGCACTAATAGTTTAATCAAGGGAGATTTTAAATAATGGGCACTAATAGTGCTGTCAGAGGCAAGCCTGGGTTGGCTCAGTCTTTTTTTTTTCTTTGGAAGCACAAAGCGTTACTGATGAGGGATCTCACTCCCCCGGGGTCTTCTCCCTCTTCCATCCCACCTTCAGCCGGTACAGCAACGCCAGCCCGGATGCTGCCGGTGCTGGTGCCTGCCTGGACCTGCCCTTCTCTTCCTCCCGCTCTTGCTTGCTCCCAACATCTCCAGTAAAACAAAAAAAACCCCTCGTAGTTTTTCCATGGCAACGCGGATCACAAACACTGGAGCCGTCAGCTCTTCAGGGATGGGAGGACTAAAACGTGTTGGGGAGGAAGAGACAGCGAGATTACACGAGTCGACTCTTGCGGAGGGATTAATGAGCTTTGGGGAATTAAAACGCACCTTTCCAGCAGGGTCCCTGTGTCCAAACCGCCCCTTTTTTACCTCCTGCTGCTGAACGCTGCCTGATCGCTTCAAGCCCAGCTCACATGCGGGAGCTGAATCGCTGCTATCGTTAGCAAACGATCAGGAACTGTCCCCAAAGCCCCCCTGGATTCAGGGATCAGCCATTTCAACAACGGAAAGAGGAGAAAGGGGCAAGGTGCTGGCGGGTTGGCGTGCCGATGGAGACGCCGTCGCTCCGTGCTGAAACACGTCGTGATAAGCAGTTGACAAGAGGCCTTCATGGGTTTCTTCTTTTTGACCATGCACAGAGACCAGTTTTGCACTGATTTATTCCTGGAAACTGGCAGGACGGGGAGGAAGGGTGGAATCAGGCTGAAGTCATTCCCGTTATCCACTGCCCTCCTCGAGGTTCTGCTCCTCCTGCTGTGCTTGTCCCCAGGCAGGGCCAGGCCCCAGCACTTGTCCTGCTTCCAGTGATGACCAGCGCTGGCCACCACGAAGGAGCACTGCAGGTCTTCTCCTGGGGTTTAGTCTCACCCTCCAGACTTGGATGTTGGGGTCCTGCTCTTCAGACTTACGTCTCCCTGTGATTTGCTCTGAAAAGTTCAGATTTAGGGGAAAACTAAACCCTGGGCAGTTTGCTGCAGGCAGGGCTAACGGATCACGAGGGGTTTGGGTTGGGAAGGGGCTGGCTGCCTACGCAGGCTCAGGAAAACCTCCTCGCCTGCGTCCTGGAGTTGTGTTTAAGCTCAGCTCGGCCTTGTTTGTACTCGGACTTCAGCACTGGCGAGTGTTGAGGGAAGAGCATGCTTCGGGAAGGTTTCTGGAGATGCGGGCTGGAGGAAAACCGAGAAAATGGGCTCGGGGCTGTGTTCCCTCTCCTGCTTTTCCAGGACGGTTGCGCTAGCGGTTTGCAGAGGAAATGGAAAGAATGAGGAGAGGAACAAAGGGCTTTAATGCGCTGAAGTGCTCGTTTTCGTCATTTCGCCAGCGCACGCAAGCTGTGTAATGTGCCAAAATGGAATCATTACTTCCCCTGGAGGCGGAGGAGACAGGCTGTGCAGGGGTCCACGTGCCCCAGATTTGCTGGGTTGAGTCCGACAGGACTGTCTGTCTGTCCATCCATCCTCCCCCAGCACTGCGGACTGGCCCCATCGCCCTCCTCTCCCCAAGGGAAGGGGAGCGGGTGCCAACACCGCTGCTCTGGCAGCCCCTCAGCTCTCGGGTCCCCTCTGCATGCCCTCCCGGTGCCTCGGGAGACGGACAAGTCCCGAGCATGGGATGGGCGCCCAGCGCTGGGATGCGGGCGATGCTCCATGTTGGCACAGGGACATATCCATGGGGATCACCCCGAAACGCTGTGTGTGGGGAGGGGGAGATTTCAGCCCCTGGCTGGGCTCCTGCCCCCCCCAGAACTCCCCTTGGCCATGACACAGAAGCTCTGCACAGGTTGGGTTTTATTTTTTTCCATCATTAAGTACAGTAAATCAGCAAAATGTTGTGGAGGGGGAGCCGGTCTGTTGTTTGGTTATGATGAACGGGAGTGAGAGCACCTGAAATTTCTGGGTGCTGCTGAAGCGGGTGATGCTGGCTGCCCTGGGAAGGGGCAAACCTTGCACTCCCCCATCCCTGTTGGACCTGCTTGCCCTCAACGTGTGGAGCATCCTGGCCGCTCGCACCCCGTGGGCTTGCTGCGGTGTGAGGGTGCCCCGTCACCCCACCGGGCCTGACACCCCCCCCCTTTCTCCCTCCGCAGCAATACTTCATCCTCCTCATCATCACGGACGGGGTGATCAGCGACATGGATGAGACGAGACACGCCGTGGTGCAGGCGTCCAAGCTGCCCATGTCCATCATCATCGTGGGGGTGGGCAATGCCGACTTTGCCGCCATGGAGTTCCTGGACGGGGACAGTCGGGTGCTGCGCTCCTACACCGGCGAGGAGGCCGTGCGCGACATCGTCCAGTTTGTGCCCTTCCGGGATTTCCGCAACGTGAGTGTGGGCGGTGGGGAGGGGCTCACGGGCAGAAGTGGGGGTCTCAAGCCTAGAAATGACGCAGCCCTGGTAGAGGCAGATACAGGCAGAAGGCAGCGAGCGGGCTGGTACCCGCCTGCCTCGCCATGGCCATACACGCCACAGCCCTCGGCGATGGTGGCACGGACCACGTAAACCGGTGCTGCAGGAGCATCTCCACAGTGTGTTCCCTCTGAGCATCCCCCCTCTCCACCACCCCCTGCCATCACCAGGTGGGTGGGGGCAAAGCCAGGTCCTCAGAGCAGCGAGGCCGTGCTGGGCTCGCATCCCTCGCCGCAGTCCCATGCTGGCGTCTCCCACGCTGGCCTCGCCCGGCACCCACCGTGTGCCGAGGGCTTACTGTGGAATTGCCCCGGCTGTGGGGCTGAGCCCGGAGCCCAGCCCTGGGCCAGCTGCTGCCGTGCTTCTCTTCCCTCTTTTCACAACTAGTCAGTGTTTTCCCATTTCACCTGCTGTTACTCAATACCTGTTTTTTTCTAACCTCCCGAGGATGTTTTATTCCTCCCTAACCATGCATTATCTCCTGGAGGGAAGGTGCAGTATAGAATATAATCCCCGGTGTATAAAACGCTGGCTGCCAGTAGGCTCCAGGGGGTATTAAACGAAATGCCACGGGCTGGAGCCTGGGACAGCCCAGCCGCGTTTGCTCCGTCCGGTTCCGCCCGTTCTTACGCTGGGGTCTGTCCCCTCTCGCTTGCAGGCGCCCAAGGAGACCCTGGCCAAAGCTGTGCTGGCGGAGCTGCCCCAGCAAGTCGTGCAGTACTTCAAGCACCGAAACCTGCCGCCCGTCAACTCGGAGCCCGCGTAGAGCCCTGTCAGGCTTCGCCCGCTGCATGCTGCCGAAGGCGCAGGTTCCACACGCTTTTAAGAGAAGACTACCCTCCCCAAAACACTTTGTACTTCCTAATTTAACTGCTAAGTTCTTAAAACTCATCCCAGAGAAGCGTCTGGATTCATTTTGTACAGTCCCGGCCCCAGGTAACATGAAGCGGCCAGGCTGTGCCCTGGTCCCGCTCCCTTGAGTTACTTTTCAGTATTGAATGTACTTTGTATAATTTCAGTGGAACAGGATACGATTTTTACAATCAAAACTTGCTTTTTCCAAGCAATGAAATGCTTAATATATTAATTCTCATTCAATGAACTGGTCCTTGTGTAGTTCATGTATCTGTGTTGTACCCGTACCTCTGTCGCGCTCTATGTTCATTTTTATACTGTGTACATGTTCTCTTTGTTATACTCAGGTTAATAAAGAAACTCGGACATTTAACCCAGAACCCAGGATCTCCTCGACAGGAAGGGCCGGGAGCGTGGCCAGCAGCGGGGGGTGTTTGAGGCAGACTGACACAGGCTGTCCTGCTCCCCCAGCTGCTCTCCCTGCACTCCGCGTTCGGGCTGGCCGTGCCCTGGGGTGATGTGCTGGGGTGGGGGGGGGAGCTACGGGGAGGGCAGCATCCCCCCACTGCCCCCGGAGCCAGGGGCAGGGAGCTGGGGTGCCTGGGAAAGCACCGCTGAACCCCTGGCAAACTGGCAAAGGGAGATTCATCGTTCATCACGGCTTCGTCTCTAGAAATTTTTCCCAATCAAGAGTAAGAAAAGCTCCCCACTGCCTGGGAGAAGAGGGGCTGGGTAGCAAAACCCTGCTCTCCACCAGCTCCTTCGAGCTGCTTGTCAGCAACGTGCCATCTTCAGCACTAATTGCTGCTTTCTTCTCTTGCTAACTAGATTAAGGCCACCTGAAGCTGGCAGGTAGGAAGCAGGACGTGCCACAGGGATCACCAGCCTCACGCCAACCCCTGGGGACCCGGCCTCCCTTCTCCCTGAGTGGGAGGCCGGTGTCTCTGTGCAAAGCCCGGAGCCCCTCTGCAGAGATGTGTGCCACAGAGGTGCTCGCTCCACCAGCCACCGCGAGCACACGCGTGACTGTCCCGGCTGCCACTGAGCCCCCGGCATGCAGCAGATCAAAGTCTGCGGCTCTGGAAAAAATGGTGGGATTTTTCTTTCCATCAGAGAATCTGACATGCAGCTGCACTTGCTGGGAAGCTCTTCGGCGAGTAGAGTGTTTGCAGGGGTTTGTCAGTTTTTTTTAACACCTCTCCGAAGCTTTACCAACTAGCACAGCCAACCAGCCGTTGATGAAGCTGTCCCTGGGGAGGGGATGAAGCACACACTACGCAGTCATGGCAAAGACAGAACAGCCTTAAAAAAAACCCCCAACAACAACAACAAATTTAAATCCGCCACTGAATGGCGGAGCTGCTGGAGCCAGCAGTTCTTCCCCTGCACACTGGCCCCAGGGCAAGGTAACTGCCACAGCCACGCTTCCAGGAGGTTGATTTATCCCCCGTCCCTGGCACTCTTCGTGCCCCAGCACGGCTCTCGGCGCACTGCACTTCAGTATTTCCACCTCCGATGGCAAATGGGACCAGCAGACGGAGCGATGAGCCAGGACAGCTCTGCCGTTTTGTTTCGACGTGCCTGGCCACGGGAACAGCAGAGGCAGCTCGGACTCAACGGCTCGTGAGCTACAGGCGCTCCCCATGTGCCCTATTCCTGCTCTTCTGGGAAAAAGAGGAAAGCAGAGGGCTCTCAGGCCTGCTGTGACCAAGATACATCTCCTCCTGGCCTTGCACGGTCCAGCGAAACCACCACCCTTCGCTCCCGCTCTCACCTGCAGCCCCACCTTTGTACACGCCTGCCGCCCCCGGCCAGCAGCTCCCACAACACATCTCTAAATCAGCCATTTGGACGGCAGCTGTGCAAAACAGCACTCAGGAAAACGGCCCCTGTGCGCTCACCACCAGGCCAGGCTGGTCTGGCTCTACACAGAGATCATCAATCGAGCTTAACGCTGCGGAAGGACACCGACATCGCTCACACCAACTGCTCAAGGCTCCCGCAAATGCAGCTTCCAAGAAAAACAGGTGGTTTTTTGTGCACCACTTCCATTTCACTCCACAGCTAAGTATGACAAAAGTCTTTGAAAGCCAAGCATTAGGGAGGCAGCCCTAATCTAAGAGCTAATAGCAAAGAGAGCTAGCACCTGAAGGCGCCATAATTACAGCAGCTGGAGAAGAGGCAGGAGCAACACTGGAGCAAATGCAGGAGGTGCCAGGCAGCCCAGCAGAACAGGGCAGGACTTGTAGCATCTGTGTAAGGATCCCATTGCGGACCAGGGCTGTCCTCCTTTGGCTAAGGATCACTTCAGCGTGAGCATAACTCTCGGTGTTTCCTTCGGGAAAGTTCACCCCTCAAGCTAAGGTGTGAATCCTACCACATGCCTTCGGGTTTCACTGCTGTTATCCCAGCTGCCCCCTTACAAGCTGCTTAGCGTCGCATTCAGATGGCTGCCCTTCGATACGCACGTACCAGCTGCTCTCTCAGAAGCGCACGCGCTTCGCAGCGTAGTACGTAGAGCAGGACTGCCACGAGGGAGACTGTCATGAAGACATGTCCACCTCCGAGCGGAGCTGTTCCAACCCACCGACCTCCTGTTCACACTGGTGGCACACAGAGGTGACAGAGATGGGCCCTCAGCTCTCACGGCCTACTTCTCGCCCATGCCCGGCTCCCTGGTCCACACCACCCATAAACATGCCCACATCAGGTTTCTCAAATCCAATGCAACCTCAACAACCACTGTCAGCAAAGGACGGTGGAGTTCTCTAGCTTCTGCTCCGGATTCACGCCCTTCAGCACACTGCTGCAGAGAAGCGGAACGACTCGTCAAGCGCTGGTGTGGGAGCGGTGGCCGGTGAGCACAACAGGCAACTGCAGCTCCTCTGAACTCACTCGGAAGAAGAGCTTTCCACCACCACCTCTCCGTTGGTAGGAGGCTGGCCTGCACGTCTCCTGCAGGGCGGTCAGAGGAAGGGGCTGGCTGGGTAGAGCAGAAATTGCTTAATGGAATGGGAACAATTATGAATGGCATGAGCAAAGATAAAAAAAAAATGCATTCAGAATGTCTTTAATCATGGAACACTAAAACTTCTTTACAGTGTCATGGCAATCTACACTTCACCATCTGCTTGATTTCTGTTCTGCCCCCATTTCTCAAATACAGAATAAAAATGACATTTTAAAACAGAACACATGGCTGTTTCTACAAGACTTCACTGCTTCAAGTGAGTATTTTTTTGCCTGTTCATCTTGTGTAAACTTCTTAAATCATCAGAATTCTTTCTTTCTGTAAGCATCATAAAAGATAAAGCACTCTCCTCCCTACCCTCAGCCCTTCATTACATGACCAGGTGTGCCCTCTGGCTGAGGATGGCAGCCTTTCTTCCAGGCTCAGTACGCACCCCAGAAATGGAAAGTTGGGGAGGGGGGAAAAAAATAGTAAAAAGGATACAATGAGTTGTTTTAGGAGCATCTGAGCGTATTAAAGTTGAGGGGTTAGCTAGAAAGATTATATCTGGGGCAGAAGGATGCATCAAGCATCCATCGGGGCTTTGGAAGATACTCTGCACTACGTTACACACGGAGGGATTTCATTATGGACCATCAAAGAAACTGTTGCCACGAAAGACAGAAGAGACGATCTTTCCAGTGGAATTAATAGTGCCTTCGCTATCTGAGCTGGACTCGGAATCGCTGCTTCCCGAGTAGGCGCCCAGGCCAGGCAGGATCCCAATGCACACGGCAGCCGAGGGACAGTGGAAGGTGGAGCCTCCCACCCTCCCACCGAGCCGCTCCCCAAGGGAACACAGGATGGTTTTTCTGGAAGAGAGGTGCCTCAGTCAAAAACAAGAGTGCAGGAAAGGGCTTGGAATCAGCCCAGGAGCTTCCGCGTGTCACTCACCTGCTGTTGCCACATCAGCGGCAGATGATTGCAGGATATAATTAAAGCATAAGGCAGCTTCATGCTGCAATAAAGCTGTTCTGACAGGAAGGACTTGCTACCTCAGGGGATTATTTTTTTTTGTTCTCATCACTAGTTTAAGCCCAGCTCTATGCTGGCGGTACAGATTTTTATTCTAAAGTTGTCAGTTTGATGCTTGTCAAATACCAAACCCACTAAATAAGAATAAATAGCTCTGCTTTGTGTAATTGAATATTTTTTTGTGATTTAATAGCACAGTCGGGGAAAAGTTTTATTCCATCGCTCTGCTAGTCAATGTCTCCCATCTTCCACAGCTGATTAATTATTTCCAGCGTTCTGAAAGTTTACTGAACATAAGGAGATTCAGGAAGCGCCTCAGGTTGTCATCACGCAATTGCAGCTCACCCTGTTTGTGTCAGAGTATCTTGACAGCAAGTCAATCGCAGCCCTGACAGCTAAGACTGACAGGCAACTCCATTTTTCTTCTAGGTCCCCATAATTTTCTGAAACAAATAGGTTTCAGGATGGACAAGATCACTTCCTTGCTATTAGCTTTTCATGCTGAGGCATGCAAATACATCAGATGCTGCCGCGCAGAGGAAAGGGACGATCAGTTCTCCACGTCTCCTGTTGACAGGACAAGCACCAGGCTCAAAACGCAGCTACGGAGACTCCTACTAGTTACCAGGTAAAACTCTTTACAGGTAAAAATCAGTTAAGCATTAGAATAAACTGCCCAAGGAAGGTGCACAATCTCCATCTGTAGAGATTTAAGAGCAGCTTAGACAAACATCTGTCAGGAATGCTTTAGGCAGGGGACAGACTGATGACCTGGAGACGTTCCATCCAGCCGTATTTCCTGGGCAGGCTGTCAGCACCCACAGTTACCATTTCTACCGCTTTTAAAGAGAACATGCCAACCACAGTCTGTGGTGGCTTGCATAGCGAAGGAGCAGAAAAGCAAATCCGCTATCAGATTTAACACCAAGTCAGTCGCTGTTCAGGTGAGAGACAGACAGCTTCCCACATGCAGAAATCAGGACATACCTTGATTCTTTTCGTCATGATCCGTATCTAGTTTCAACCTCTTCACGCTGTTACCACCATCTGAACTGTGGAAAAAATCAGAAAGTGTCTTGCTCCTCATAAGCAACCACTTAACCGCTGTGAAGTTAAAGTCACAGCTAGCCTCAAATGCTACAATGAACGCCAGCAGGGTCCCCTGATGACCACCACCACTCCTAACTGCTGTTAGCTGGCGCTGCTCGGGGAACATGCAGGATCCTAGAAAGATTCAACACCCACAGTCCCAAGAATCACCTGTTAACCCAGGAAACAGAAACACGCTGCTGGGAGTCCAAGTCAGACTCTCACGCAGCGACCCAGAGCTGTCTATTCAGCTAGAGATCAGGAATGACCTGAGCTTCAGCCGCCCCTTGCGACCGCAG